TCTCGAATGTTCAGGATGACATCATCCTTCGAGAACATTCCCCCCGACCGTGCTGCCACCTGGTTCTCGAATGTTCAGGATGACGTCATCCTTCGAGAACATTCTCCCCCGACCGTGCTGCCACCTGGTGGCGTAGTTTTGGTCCAGAAGATGAGTCATCAGCCCGAGTGACTCATCGATGACGTCATTCATCTCGAAATTTCGGCGATTGTGGCGGCAATATTCAATTTTATCCATGTGTTCACAGGTTTTCATAGTATTATATTTCATACAAGTCCCACCAGGACGGTTCTCCCACCATGCGAGTCGATTACTCATCGATAACGTCATCCGTTTCGAACCTTCTACAGCTTGTGGCGCCAATATCCAATTTCATGCAAGTTTCAACAGGTCATTATATTTCATACAAGTCCCAACAGGTCTTAGGAAGCACACCCACCGCGTGATGAGTCATTGATGACGTCATCCTTCTCGAATGTACAAGTCTCAGCAGGACTTACAGGAAACCCCCACCTCGCACATCGATGAGTTATCAGTCTGAGTGACTCACCGGTGTCATTCATCTTGAAAAGATTTCACCATCGTTTTCGCATATTTACACATGTTTGCATACGTTTGTAAATGTTTGCAAATGTTTTCCAATGTTTGGAAAATGTTGTCAAACGTTTGAAAATGTTTTAGAATGTTGTCAAATGTTTACAAAATTTTTGCAGAAGGTTTGCAAATTATGTAAAATGTTTGCAAAATATTTGCAAATGTTGTTAAATATTTGCACATGTTTAGGACTTACGGGGAGTTCCCACACCATGCAAATAAATGAGTAATCAGCCGGAGTGACTCACCGATGACGTCATTCATCTCGAAATTTCCGCGATTGTTGCGGCAATATCCAATTTTATCCATGTGTCCACAGGTTTTCATAGTATTATATTTCATATAAGTCCCACCAGGACAGTTCCCCCACCATGCAAGTCGATGACTCATCGATTACGTCATCCGTCTCGAACCTTCCGCGACGGTGGCGCCAATATCCGATTTCATGCAAGTTTCAACAGGTCATTATATTTCATACAAGTCCCAAAAGGTCTTAGAGGGATTCCCCCATTACGCGAGTCGATGACTCATCGAAGATGTCATCCATCTAGAAAACTCCATGACGGTGGTGCCGCCACCAGTATCATATTCCATACAAGTCCCAACAGGACTCAGGAAGTACCCCCACCACGCCCCCGAGTTGATGAGGTGATTCATCGATGACGTCATCTGTCTAGAAAATTCCGCGACGGTGGCGCCGCCAGGTGGCGATCGGCTGAAGCTGGATCCAGAACTCGTCCAGCCTACCTACNCCTTAAGGCTTTCGTCAGTGTCCCAAACAATGGTGGTAGAGCTCCAATGGTAACAGAAAGTGCCTGAAAAATTTCAACGCGGGAAAACCCCATACACCGGTATTGTGCGTTGAAAATTAATTCAAATTATGGCGAAGACTCCATATGCACAAAAATATCGAGCAGAATGGGTCAAAGATCCAGCTCTCAAGTGCCATCGCTCGTCTTATTCAGATGTATTTGCCATTCTCTTCAGTTGGCGGTGTCAGCTGCTACCGCAGAAACATTACCAAGACATTTGGAGTACGCAATTCGTGAGACGTATCATTGATTCAGTCACTCAACTCTTCGACAGCAAGAGGGGTGTTACACTGCCGAAGTTTTACATAAAATGTACGAGGATCCTGTGAATGAAGTTTATTTGACGTATGTGTATAATGTGGTCAGGGAAGTTCAGGTAGTCAATAAAGCCTTCGAGGCTCAATCAGCCGACCCGTCGAAGCTTCTGGAAAATCTTCAGCAACTGCTCAAGTCTATCTCGTCAAGAGTTCTTATTCCATCGAGAAAAATAAACATTTTCGTTTATGACATCTCCAAGCATCTGGATCCTAGTCCCTATCTGGGGTATGCATTCGAGAAAGCCTTGAGGGAGGCTAAGTGTGATGAGCAAGCCAAGAAAGTTATTGCATCAAACAGATTGCCATCAAATTTCACTCTGCTGGAGAAGATGAATTTGCTGCATCCCTCTGAAGCACTCAAGTCTCGAGTTCATAAATGATTTATTACATCATTAGCTCGAGAATTTGAAGTCAATGATGCAATTATCTCAAAAATCGAGACTCAGTGGTCTAATTTATCGAATCAGACATGGTTGAATGCAGATAAGTCTTCAGAAGAATTCTGGGTGGAGGTCTCTCGATACACTGATGCTTGTGGGATGAATACTTTTGACGATCTGGTGAAATTGGCGTTCAGATTGCTGAGTTTGCCCATTTCCAACGCCGAAATATAGTCTTCAGCCAGATGAATTTAGTAAAAACCAAGTTGCGCAGTCGTCTCATTCCCAGCACAGTGAATGCTATCCTTTCGATTCGCTACGGTTTGAGGAGAGATCAGAAGTGTTGTCACTCTTTTGAGGTGCCAAAGCAGGTGGTGAAGATTATAGGCCCGAATGCTACGTACAAGAACGATAAAAATTTGCAGGAGAGTAATAATGATGACCTGTCTGATGTTCTGAACGAGTTTCAACAGTTTTCAATTTAGGAAGAAACCTCAGGAACATATATTATTAATTTCCAGTGTAAAATGTTCTCCAGCATCATTTATCTGTGAAATAGCATCTAATTGTTTTTGTTTAAGGTTAAATTTTATAAACAAAAAATTATATGTTACGTCAAGAATCGGTTACTTGACACAACTTTATTAAATTAAAATTCAATATATTGAACCAAAGAAACAAGATTAAATTCAAAGATCGTCTCGAAATTAAGGAATAGAATTCAAGCACAAAACCCATTTACAAAGGTCCCCTTTTACTTCAATTTTCTAAACCCCAAAAAGGTTTGGAATCAAAGGTTGGAAAGGTTCACTTGGAGTAAAATGAAAAGAATTTTGAATAACTTTAAAGTGACTAAATAGAGTCTATATTTTAACAAAACAAGTAGAAAAGTATAACTACAACATTCGACTTACATTCACTGCTCTGCTTTCAGTCGTAAAGTATTTTGTATGTGGTTAAAAGTAATGCCGCACTGAATTTAAGACGTTGGATTAAATTCTTTATTTAAATGAATAAAATAATTAAAAATGTCACAAGACTTGGGATTTCAGAAAATAATTTAGTCACGAAAGACTAAAATGGAAATTAAATAGTCATCCAAGACTATATGAAAATTAAAGGTCGCGAAAAACCCGAAATATCGCCTTAATAGGTCGATAATAAAATTGGAACTGTGTCCAAAAGAAACTGGAGTATACTAACTCTCAGATATGAGCTACTACTACTACTGTAGCGATGACTACAAAATGCAATCGGAACTGTAACTGTCGTGCTGCTATCGCGCACAAGTCTTTATAGTTTATCTAGGAGGGTGTGTCCTCAGAATGCATAGGGAAATTTCGGGGACCAATTACAAATGACTCTAGTCGAAATTTCCCACTCCAGTGGTTTGAAATCTCCTTGTTTCGAGATCAACTCCATCTCTCTACATGAAGATGTTTTTGGGGTGTAGGCGGTCTTTTCTATTCCCCAACAACCAATGAAAATTGTTTTAGGAATGCCCATATATTCCCTCCACAATTCTCTTTTATCTCTTATTTTCAACTTAGCGTTAACATCTTTGTTATTTAATTTTTTAGAAACAATTCAGATAAATTTCATGAAATGTTATGATAAATTATAATTCATTGAAGAAAAATAGTAATCTAATAGTAATTCAATAATAATTCAATGACATAAAAATATTGTTTAAACTTTAATTATTTTGTGGTTTTCCCACGTTGATAATATTTCTTAAACAATTATGATAGTTTAATTAATATCCGAAATGGAAAATTATTCATAAAAGAATCATTCTGTTGTATGATGCATTTTACTATTTTTGTGTCACATGTTCGTCAATGTTTATGTCATTTCCTCCATGTGGGAAACGAAATCGTTACTCTATTTTTATATCAAATATTTGTCGTGGGAGTTACAAAATTTGGACCCACGCTTAGAATTTGTTATCAACAGTTTTCCGGTTCAAGAGTCCAGTGTTTATTGAAATTTACGGTCACACGTGGAAAGTACATGATTAAGGAGACGAGACTAGACTCAAATGTTTACAGTGCATCTGATATTGCACAGCTGATATCTCCTTAATATAGGAGAAACTCGACGTTGGGAACATTTTTATCGTTCACAGATGTGTGCAGCCGAAATATTCCCAACATCGAGGGGGTCACTTTCCCTCGTCACAGAAGATAATTTGGGTTTCAAAAGTCGCTTCTATCACTGAGATAATTGAATGACGACGTAAGAAAATGAATTAAAATGAATTTTCTGACGGATGTCACATATATACGAAAAATATTTATTAATAAATATCATCTCATTGAAAAAAAATCTGGTGACTTTCAGCTGAAAAAGTAGATTTCTCTAAGCAGACTCAGTGACGAGCAGGGGTCGCCAGCTGGCAACCCTGCGCAAAATCCTATGAGCGGCATTGGAATCGTGCCGAGCGGTATTACCCGACGGCGGATAGACCGCTCAATAGGCTCTCTTTTATTTTCAATCAATTTTGTGGATTCTAAGGAGAATTAGTCGTCTACACTTCGAGAATAACGAGTTCAATAGTTGAAGAAGTCTCACAAATACGTTTTTTTATACTCAAGTTGAAATATAAAATATAAAACTGGCATTTCCCCTTAGGTGGGCGGTACAGGCACACCCTCCTCTACTTCAAACCTATGGGAAATATGTTAATTTTTATGTGCTTTTTTGTAAAGTGAAATGAAGTTTGCAGTTGCTACAAATAAAGTTTTTCTTTTTCTAAGCCTGATAGTTTTATTCTCTTACCTACAAATGAAAGTCTTGTGTGAAACCCACCATTTTCCCCCCAATTCCGAGTAATTCAGCAAGAAGTTGACATCCGAACGAAGTAGTGAGGTGAACCTAATCGACTTCGCTTCGCAATGCGTACATTCAGTGAATATTTCGGAACTGAAGAATATTGGAAACTTTTCAATAATAACCTTTTTCGTTGCTCTCATTCTTCTCTGAAAGAAAATCTTCGTATCGCGAGGCATCCCTCAACCTTCAATTCCGAGATTCAATAAAAGCTGCACTCTGCGCAAAATTAATAACATTTTTGAATCGAAATCATAATTGTTATTTTTTCATTACTTTCATTTTGGGACTTTTCTATTTAGACAAAGATGACATTGAGAAACGATTGACTTCCCTCCTGGAGGAGGGCTCCAAAGTTCCAGCGGATGGAGAATCCTCCACAATTGCAGTTCCTGATTATTTCGATGATGAGAAATTTCGATTGGGTCAAGAAGTGTTCGAAAAGAACATATTCACCATGATGATTGCAAAATTATCAGGATTGTTGGTATTGCTGGCCGTACCTTCTATTCTTGATATTCTTCGGTTTACTAAGCAGAGTGGAACCCCATGTGCTGCGTTTCGGCGATACGCTGCAACGATATTGCATACATGCATTTGGTATAAGAGTATACCAAATCGAAATATCAAGTAAATAAATTTATTGATAATCCTTTTTGCGAAGGAATTCTTGAGTTTTTTCACTCCTTCGAATCAGATGATGAATTTACTCATTGTTTCGCTTATAATGTGATCAATCTAGATTGATAGGAAATTGAAGCATGCCCATGACTATCGAGTTTGAATAAAAATTTTAGAAGACCGTTTTATAAAGAGCGACAAAAAAACATGTTTCCAGACAAGTCTTGTTTTACATAAAAAAACAATTACAAGCTGAAAATTATCAAGAATAAAAAATCCCTTGCTAAACATTCGAAGATGATCCTGAAATGACAAATTTTTGTGGTAAACATAGATTTAGTTATCCCTAAGAATATTTATTTTCTGTGTAAACAAGAAATCCCGTTTCTAGCACTACCTATTCGCTATTTTATACTACCATACCTATTTTGCCCGCCATAAATATTCGTGTTATACGAAACAAGGCAGAGTAGTTTTGCGTTTCGACTATTCAATTCTTAAAGATAAGAAAGTAATTTTTTAATTGAATAATAATGACGGTGTTATACCTATTATGTAACTTTCCTTATTGGAAGCAGAGCCATCATTTATCCCCCATAGAACAATCCGCGACCGTGACGCTTGTCCTCTTTCGGTTTTTCACGCTAATGTCTCTCTTCCTGTCTGATGAACCTTATGTTTTATACTCATTCTAAAGCCTATTCCATCAGCTTCAAATTGACACGTGAATCATTCCATCCTGATCAATTTTCATTAAACTATAGCACTTTTAGGCAAAAATCGGTTTTTCGTGATTTTCCTTCAAAATCGACTTTGGTTGGTTTTTCTCTTTTCTTTTGCATCAAATCAATCGAAAGATTGATATACCATTTTGAAGGGCATATTGATCCTTCAAATTGTGATGTATTGAATGCAATTTGGTTGAATTTTCATAAAGTTATTGGAGATTGTTTCTCTTTTGAACGTCACACATGTCACACCCTGAAATTCGCTCTTTTCATCCTTGATTGTATCTTTGCACTTAAGCAATGAGGGTTTATTATATACCAATTCGAAGATGTCAAGTAAATCTTTGAAATGACATGTGATTTTTCTCACTACATCCACTTGATCAATCCTTCAGCGTTTTAGTGAAGGATTGTTGTCATTCTCGCCAATATTCAGTGGCCTTAATGAAGTCAAGAATTAGTCGAATTTAAACAATTGATTGACGAATCAATTTCATGCAGCCTGGCAAGCGCGCGTCTCGCCTAGTGATTAAAACTTTCATTTGTATCAATGAAAGGATTTCTATTTTGACAATTATCAACTTGTGATTTTTTTGTTCAAACAAGACTTGTTCGAAACATTTTTTTTTCTTCTCTCAGTGTAGAGGATATCACGGGATTTTTTTTATGCTAAACTTACTAATTCCAGAAATATCTGAAAAATAATTGAATTTTTACTTGAATTCTTTAACCTTCCATTACTTTATAGATTATTGTTTGCAAATATCATGATAAGTGTAGAAAAAAATATCAGACGACATCTCTGGTGAAGAAAATTGACTTTCCTGTAAAGAAATTTGCCTCCGGGATATTGGCAAAATAATCTTCACACTATTTTCGACGAGATTATGCATTTCTAGAATGATCGATTCCATTTATTTGATGTTCAATGAAATTGTTTATTTGATTGCAGGTTCTTCGAATCGGTGAGCAATGTACGAAGGAAACACTGCATCGCCTCTCGTCGTTGCTTTGAAGTCGGAATTGGGAGGATATCCCAAAGAGATATGGCTCTGACTCAATTCGGCTTCATGGGATTCAGTTTACTTTGTGCAGAACCTCTGGGAATTGTCATGAGTGATAAAGAAGCTGATGGACTTCTTCACTTCTGGAGAGTCATTGGTCATATGTTAGGCACAGACGAAAGGTGGAATAAAAATTAGTCAAAACGATTTTACTTATGAAAATAAAACTGTTGAAAGTGACTACATATGGTCGTCGTATAGCCAAAGGGGCGTAACAGCTATACTTATACACACCACTTATGCCCCTTTGTCTATACGGAGACGATACGTTGGTTGTGCAAATATTTTCTTAACGGGTTGTTCTATAAATAAATGTTGCATGCCTTTTTTCATAAATCAGAAAATTTTCAACAGAAAAGATGCTTATTCATTCTCCTAAAATCGATAATTATATCGATCTTATAGTTTTAGGACACAATATCAATCAAATTGTTTCTATGAATGAATCATTTTCCAGTTAAAAAATTTCCTTGATATTTGATCTCCCATCAATAATTACGAAGATAATCACATACAAAACTTTGTCCCTCACCTATATATATTCTACTTCAGTTTTATTTCTCTCCTTATTAATTCTATTTTTCAATCTGTTTTCTTCATTACAGGTTCAATCTCTGTAATGGAAGCATCGACGATACAAAAGCTCTCTGCAGAAGACTATTGGAAGCAGTATTCATGCCAAATCTTGCCAAGAACACAAAGCACTTTAACGAAATGAGCACAGCTCTGCTCAAGGGTTTATGGCCCATAAATCCTTTTATCGACGTTCATGCTTATAAAGTCATGACATATCACTTGATATCAACTGCAGTATCCTATAATAATAATTCACTCACGTTTTCTGAGGAACCCATGCCCACTTACAGCAGACTTATACTCAATTTTCAGTTGTTCGTTCATCAATACCTTCTGCAGACTCGATTCTGGTGGTCCGGATTGTTCAGGGCGTTTTTCAATAGTCAAATGAGAATGGGAATTTATTTAACAGAGAAATTCCCATTCTTAGCATATTGGATATTCGGAAGGAGACAGTCGTACTTTAATATTTATAAATTTCATTTGGAGTAATTACCGACTACTTTGTGTGATTATCAAAAAATTTTAATGTTAAAATTTTCTCCTGAATTCAATAATTATTGAACTAAAGGCTCATCTCCATTACCTGCCGAACATTATCTAGATTGCTTTTTTTGTTCGATTTTTATCTCGCAATTTCAACTCGATGCCCCGTCACTCAGAGACCCCCAAAAATTATGAATTTAGATTGAGAAAAAGGTAAAAAAAAACTGAATATTTTGAAAGAGCATCTTTAATTAATATTGAGAAATCAGTTTAATACAGGAGATATGAATAATGTATAATTACCGTGGAACATGACGACCTGTCAGTCGCCCCCATGGGGGGGGGGGGAGAAAATCCGAAATATTAAATCCTTTGGCGCAGTGCAACCAGACGACTATACGAAAAGGTCTTTCAAAAATTTGTAATATTTTTACGAATTTTTTTATCACACTTTTACGATGAACTACTAATCACTTACACCAATCTCCGTAATTGAAAATTGTACTATCAATTGTGACTTTTGTCGGGGGCGCAAAAAACGGAAGAAAGCGATTTTCCAATGTTTTCAATTCCCGTCAAAAGTGACAGCTGAACGCTAATACAATTATTAATCGAGGAGATTGACGTAAGTAATTGGTAATTCATCGTAAAAGTGGGATGAAAAATTTTTTGAAAATATTATAAATTTTGTCAAAGAGCCTTTTTTAGTACAATCGTCTTGTTACGGTGTGCCAAAGGATTTATTATTTCGTTTTTCCTCCCCCATGGTGGTGACTGACAGGCCCTCATTTGCCACGGTAATTATACATTATTCGTATCTCCTCTGTTGAAATCATGGCTCAATATTAATTAAAACCGCCCTTTAAAAATGTTTAGAATTTTTTAACCGTTTTTCCAATCTGAAATCAGAATTTTTGAGTGTCTCTGAGCGATGGAACATAGAGTTGAAATTTCAAGATAAAAATGGAACAAAAAACTCAATTCAGATAACGCTCCGCAGATAATGGAGCCGAGCTTTAAGTAATGAATAAAAAATTGTAAAACAAGAAATTACCCTTCAAATATGGAGTAACTTCTCTTGATCATCCATTTTAGAAGAAAATGTTAAGTGACCTTTTGTGCAGAATTTTAATAGTGGCAAAAAAGCATTCTGATTTTGCTCAAACAGCTATCTGCATAAAGAATAAATATCTATTGAGCTTAAATGAAAATATCGGGAGATTTTTTTAATAGAGAATTTCAAAAACATTACTTTTAGACATATTCACAAAATATGTATACAATATTTCTGACCCACCTTCCAGTTCTCTGTAATTAAGATTCCAATTAAAATTTTCTTTGAATTATTTTCAACGTTCACAATGAAATTCTAATTGCATGTTGAGAATTATAAATGAAATTTGATATTCATTGAATTTCTTCTAAATTTAAATTTATTATAATTAAATATTTTCTCGCACTTCTACAACACTTTTACTCATAAAACACTCACTCATATCACTCTCTACTCATCATCATCATATTTTCCATATAGAACACAAATAGATTTGTAGAGAAAACCATATATACCTTTCATTATAATCAAACGAAAGAGAAAGGAAAATTCATAGTATTTGTTATGTTATTTCCTCAAATTTGGTCATATATTTACAAAAATCCTTGTATTTCTTGCCTTACCACATACTTACATAAAATAAAGCGATTCAGATATATTCATTAACGTCTTAAGAATTTTTTTATTCCCTCTGAAACGATTATTCACTTCATATTACTTTAATTAACAAATTAATAAATGATGAATCAAAATGCAAATATTGCTTTCCTCTACGATACTTTTACTTTAATGCCACTTATGCAGCTTCAGTTATCATTGCTCATCATTCAAATCGCTCGTTTATCTTTTGTGAAATATGAAAAAATTTGTACCCATGCATTCATTTATGTGAATAGTTCAATTGTAACATGAGTTGAGACAATGGTGCATCCCAGGGAGGTTTAGAGAAAAATGTCAGGAGAAACATTTCGTAGAAAATTTCATGAGCTCATTTCCCCTAAATTGGATAATTAATGACATATTTGCATAATTGACAAACTCCTGTCATCGATTGGTTCGATCTATTCAAGTTGTCGAATCTGCTCAGCCTAATTATGCAATTGTTCCAATAATTTCCCGAGAACTAAAGGCAAATTTTGACACTAGCATGGTCTTTTCTCGGCAAAATGATCTATTGCACACAACGGAGTTCCTTAATTTTCTGGCACATCATTTCATATTTTAAATTTGAGATTTTGTCAACAGCGATTGTAATCCTCACATCCTAACCACACGAGATACATATTGCATTCTACTCAATTGAAATGTACCAATCGAATGAGACATTGCGCAATCTGAATCCCACATTGCATAATTCAAGTTCGTGAATGTTCAATTTGAACATTGAAGGTATAATTGAAGCACTCGGAATTTAAGAACAATAAAATCCACCAATCCGAGCCCGAGTTTTATGGATTTTGTGTTTTTCTGAAATTACACATGCTTGGATTATACATGTTAAATTGCGCACAATAATTCAAACATTTACAAATTCAAATTGTACAATGTATAACTGACATGATGTGATAGACTTTAATGCAAAACATCAAAGATGAAAAATAAAAGGAATTCATTGTGTATAATAGGTCATTTATGGAGAAAATGTTCTATCGGTGATAAAGTATGCCAAACCGAATTCCTCACCAAGAAATTTTGATAGACGCAGTTTTCCCAATCCACAAGTTTGCAAAATATCACTCAAATAAACTACTAAAAAATTTCCAAACTCATCTTCTCCACTTCACCACTTCACTACGGATTCATGTTATGACATCAGAAAATTTATCATCAGCCGTTAGACGTTCGTGCGAAATGTTTCAGTGTTGTCCAATCACTGTTCAATATAGATAATAACCTTGAAAAGTATCTTAGGCCAAGCCAATGAAATTCATTCCTCTCCGAACCCTTAAATTTCTTTCATAGTCTCCAATAGTAATAAATATTGAATATTGCTGTATCTCCATTAAGGCAAGGAATTAGTTGTGATAATTAATGATTATTTACAAAAATAAACATCCTTTATTGATGTACATCGATACTTGGCTTGTGTTCCACGTAATCTCTGTTTATTTCTCTCGATTTTTGCACTTCCGAATTCTTCCATTAATACATATTATGTATACGTATCATATCGTCAATGATAACTATATTTATCATCATTACTATTCATTGTTTAATATTATTCTGTTATTATCGTGATTATTATGTCAAAGAGAGTTTCTTACAACAATTACTGAGCCATTTTGCACGAAAATACAATGAATTACGGCGAAAGATATTTTTCGTTTCTAGATGATTAATTAATTCCCCTCCGGTGAAAATAATTTGTTTCGTTTATTAATACAATCGTTGATTCTCCACCATTTTGAGTTTCACCGAATTTCATTTAATCAATTGAATCGTTGCACTCATCTTTTCTGCGGGTTTTTTATAGTGATGTTCATACGTAATTATGATTCATTAATTCCTCTACATGCTGGTCTTTATTACGTTGCCGTCAAGATTATCACTCATTTGTTCGTTCAAATTCTGCTTATGTACATACTTCATTAGCTAATTCAGTAGTGAAGTGATAAAAATTAACAAGCAGATTTATGTTGATTTTGTCAATTATGGAATTATCTAAGTAATTTTCAAGTTCAAATGAAAATGTTGAGAGACGCTTTTTGCGGACGATGTTATCAACTACTACAAGAAAGGTCTCTAGACACTCTCATCCAAAATCCCCTTTTATCGATGAGATCGGTTCAACTAGAGAATTAAGGAAGATGTTCCACTTGACTTGTTACGTTTATTACGTTAATTCATTGAAATTCGTCCTCTGGCGGTGGGGTATACGAATTGGATATTTTCTTATAACAGATCCCTACAGTAATAAAACCAGTTAAAAAATCTGTACACTAGCTTACAATCTTCACTCCAGATTTAAGTTTATAATTTCGATTTTTTTTTCTTAGATTTAGAAATTTTTGGGATTTGATCTTCCTACAGGCTCATACCGTGGAGCAGCGCAAAATGTTTTGAGTCATTACCAATGGATGAAGATGAATAGAAAATTCTTTTGAACCTCTATTTATAATCATTATGAGATTATTTAATTGAAATTCCACGATGGAGCCAACACTTCATAAAATGCACTGAAATTTCAATTGAAAGGAAGATGTTTTTAAAACGAAAATGCAAAGTAATTGGCGCATTGACAAAAAGTGGTTTACAGAAAAATATCAGAAGATAAGTTTTGTAGAGAATTCCATCATCTATATAAAATATTTTTTTACATTTTCCCACAAAATTACTGAACAGTGACATTCACTCACGCATTTGACAAACAAAAAATTCGATTGGTCAATCCTTTCTACTTGATGTAATTCTACCATCATCTCGTTAACTATCAACTCTAGAGAAAGATGTCACAAAACACGTTCCGTTGCAAATTTTTCCCCCTACAAAAGATATTTTTTGCCATTTTACTCTAAAATTACACGTTAATGGAATAATGAACTCGGTATCAAAAATTTTACATTGGACTTAAATTCAACGATGGTTGCTCATTGTTAAATAGCCTCGGTAACGAATCATTTCAGCAAAAGAAAAAAACACCTGAAGACTTTTCGTCGCCTTAAATTTCTTCCTCAAAAAAAAAAGCTCTCCACACGTTTTCCCTCATACGCTTTTCTGTCTCAAGCTATTTCCAGAAAACTTGCCTAGAATCCCCAAATCATCTCCTCCTTCCGTATGAACAAGAATAAATTGATTGGCAAGCCCAAAAACCGGAATTTTTCCTGTCTCCTTATCCATGAGCCAGAAAGAAAACTCCCCCCAATCATTAAATCCGTATTTCCATCTATAAAAGTTCTTCAAACCCTTCATTCATGCTCCACCATAGTGAAATGAAGAATAGTAATAATAATAAATAAACTACCTAAACCCCCCATCATCCTTACCAGGATTCGTTGCTGCAATAAACAATAGTATGAAAAATTCACGTATAATTGCCGCCATGCAAGTATATTAATCATGTTTATTCATTTCATTCTGTAATCCTTACTCGATTTAATTTAAAGAACATGAATTTATTCACCTTGTAGGACACATTAAAAACGGAAAAAATGGGAACTACTAATTGCTTTTTTCTCTCTTCAAAAATTCACTATTCGCTTCACACAACATAGGCGTATGATTGCGCATAAATAAGTATTTATCTTATCCAAGATAGTCTAAAGTTTTCTTATCAATTTTTTACTCGCTCATCTCCTTGTTTGTCTTACAAACTCATATAATTACCTTGTTATATCTGATTCATTTCTTTTCTACAGTTCATTCACTCTCGTTAAATCTATTGATGCGTTTTTCATCTCCAAATATACGCGGCTCCATATTGTGGTTTCTCTTTACTTATATTTTTTTTAATTTTTTTTTATTAAAAAGAAATTGATTTGTTTTTTGTTTCCTCAATTAAATTGTACAAAATTTCGTACGGACAGGCAATTAGACTTCTACTATACATATTACATTGAAGGGAAAACAATAATGATCCTTCCTGTTCGTTCTCAGTCAATAAATCGAGGTCTGCACCTCGATAGATTGGTATTAATTGTTCAAATCATGTTTTTGTCGTTTGAAGCAGTATTTTCAGCCTTGAACCGTTGATAAGGGAAATCATGAAGGAGAGATAGTACAAAAAAGGATATGAAAAAGAAAAAAAAAGGTGGAGTCAATCTGGAATCAGCTTGAGTGAGTTTTTGTTTTGTTGAGGGAATTAATGGTAATGGTGATTTTTTCAGTAAAAAGGCAACTGTGTCTACTATGAAAGTCGCTGCCTCTTCGGCGATGGGCTGAGTTCTGAATCCTCGTCCTCCTCGTCGGAATCGCCTTCGTAATCTACCAATCCCTGGGAATGAGAATAGATAATGAGGAAATAAAGATCTCTTTAGAAATGAAATATTTGAAATTTGAAGACCATTTGAGTTTTTATGAAAAAAATATTTCAGAATCTTCTGTATCTTGCTACTGATTAATAAAAAAAAATCAAGAGAATTTTTTCAATAAAATTCCTCCTCTCAGTCATCATATACATTTGTTATGAACTATTGGAAAGGATCTCCCATAAGTCCTGGAGATGATTGAATTGTTAACAGAAATAGGTGAGAATTCAAAAAAAAATGGTAGACGTTGAGTGAATTACGATATTATAGCATTAATTTCCCATTTTTGAAGAAAATATCTAAAAATTTCAATAATAAAAATTTGCTCAGCTACAAAAAAGGTCTCAGGATATTTCATCATAGAATCGCTTATTCTCGAGATGTTTGTGGATGATAGCAATGAAAAAAAGTGATCAAAACAGTTGTCTAGTGACATATCGATTTGAGAAAGGACAGAAGATTTCCATTGTAGGAAATTACATGATTTACAAGAACAACCCTATGACTTTTTCCCTGAAATTGGCCGGTCTATGAGATCTTGGCAAAATCATTTGGGTCGCGAAATCAATTTTCCGAATAATATTCTTTGATTGTAGACATCTTTCATAATTATGCAATTATCTTTTTACCACATGATACATAATAGAAAATGAATGAATAATAAGAACTGAAAATTTACCTTCTTGAAAACTGTTGTGCTAGGTTTTTCCACACTATCACTAGATGCATTAATGATTCCAGATGAAATGGAGGATTCATTAGCCGTCGATAAACTACTGCTGTTATTAACCTGGGACTGTTGTGTAGCCAGAATATTACTGGCAGTGTTGTTATTAAGGACAGTTTGGCCTTGTTGTTGATTCTTCGATTCTGCTGGAATGGGATTCGGACTCTGTCCCGAGTTCGGACTTGCCGGTTGCTTTTTTGCTGACGCTGGCGGCACTAAATCTGCAGCAGCCGCAGGTACCACTGCCTCACCCTCATCAAAATCCTCTTCTTCATTGAACCACATCTCCTCGTCTTCATCAAGCTGCCTCTGATCACGCCGGTATCGACTATTCCGTAAAATTGATGGTACACTAGAAAATTCAACCAACAATTTTCAGATTATTGTAAATTACAATAAACTTGTTTGATTTCAATATTTTTGCCTAAGTGATGGAAATATAGTGGTGGATAATCGGGAAATTATTTTCTCCTGATCTCTCTATTATGATGAAACTCTAAATCAACTTCTGGCGATACGAAATGGAGTCGAAAAATGAAGGCAATAAATTAAGATGAAGGTCAAAAGTTAAAGATGAGAATATAAAGGTCGAAAATGGGTGAGAATATGAAGATCACAAGAAGGGACAGAAAATAAAGGTACATCAATTTCGTAAGATAAGAGTCAGAATCTAAGGGTAAAAATATAAAGGCCAAAATAAAAAAATTAAGATCCGAATTCTGACGTATCACTGATTTGCTTTATGAATCTACGTAACTCAGCCATATTTCAAAAATACGTAACTCGTTAACTGAGAGTAACAGTATTTTGCAAGAGTGATACGACATTGGCACAATTTGGTCATTTTGAGCCCTTCTCGATGGTTACATTTCATTTTTTTCAGCCAAACGCGCATCTCAAATCGAACAATCTTAAGGTTTAATGGTCATAAGGACCAAATGGGAAAGACAAGGAACGTAATTATAATGGTCAAGCCAAGGGCCTATCGGTTATACGAGTCCAGCAGAATGAGCCAAAAGGTTAAATGGAAAATGGAACAAAATGGTAATAAGGTTCGAATAAAAGAATGGAGTAAAATGATCATAAGGATTAAAGGACACAGAGTAGCAAAACGGTCAAAAGGGTCGAATGTAACAGTTTATAGTCAAAGTAAAAGTATCAAAAAGGGCTCGAAACAGTTTAATTGGGCCAATGTGGCAGCACGGTTTTAAGTTAGTATAAGGGAGAATGCCCATGAAATGGAATTCACATGGAGACAGAATGTAGACAATCAGATGGCAAGATTCTTTCGCCAATTTTATTTGCTCTACTCTGATTAGTTACACAGATACGTTTCCATGGGAATTACACTCCATGGACATTCTCCTTTACTCTTCATTACTTTTAGTTAACGTGTTATGAATTCTTGGAATTCGGCTTAGTTACGTAGATTCATAAAGGAAATTCGGAATACGTATTTTCACGAATTAATAGGTAATTTCAGATGAAAATGTCGAGACGTTTCTGCAAGATTTAATAATCTACAAAAATGTCTTCTGACACTTCCTTCCAAAACTGGTGAAGACTTGGGAAAATTTTTGACCGTTAGTAGGATTTCTTCGGTGACATTGAATGATAATGAATAAATAGTTCACCTTTCAAGCGTAGCTCTGTCACGATCCTTAAGTTTATCTTGATGTTGTTCGTATCTCATCTTCAATGCTTTAAAAGTTTGTACATAATCAATTGTTTCCAATTCCTTCGAGAAGTTTTCCACTACGTGTGAGCACAATGATTTTATGTCCTCCTGAAAGATTGAAAATAAATATATGAACATCGCGTATCATAATGTTAGGATTGTATCCCTAAATATTACGATGCAAGAATATTTTGGGCTAATTCTGTTGTTTATTTCCATCAGTTTCCAATTCTATAAATTAATATTATAATAATAATAGTGAAAATAATAACAATATTCAATTTATAATGGTGAATTCACTCGAATTCGGTGGATTGACAATAAATTGAAATTTTAATTGAAGGAATATTTTAGGCTTTCTGGGACTTTTACCAGCTGCGTCCCTGCCGTGGGGCTATTAGAGGAAAATATTTCTGTGTCGAAAAGAATAAAAATGAATTGTTTTTTGTTACTGAGTTGTGCAAGTCAATGAAGTATTACCAAGAACATCGTATAAAAATTCATAATATAAAAAGACAGACATGAACGTCGACAATAACAATCGGAAGTTCGCATTTTGTGTGGCCACGATGGTATTCTTGTTCGTAATATTCAGATCTGCAATCAATGAATCATTTATCAATTCAGTAAAGAAGTGGTGAAACGTGCCTTTATGAAATTGAATATTGAATTTTTATTAAATTTTTTAATTTAGTTTTGTACCATAGAAACCTCCTTACTCGTATTGACCTCCTTACTTGTATTGATTCCAAACTTTTTTAGTAAATCATTAATTTCAATGATAAGTAATGCAGCAACAACGAACCAATAACTTTCATTGACAAAAAGTAGACGTGAAAATTCTTGCGAAGAATTCATTTTGAAATTTTTCTCTAAGCTCACTCCCAGTTACAATAAGTTCCATTTTACCGCTTCCATCCAGTTCGAAAACCCCATAAACTTACCAATTTGATGAACTCAAACATCTCCAAAATCGCCGAGTCGAGTAGATTATACCTCCCATTGTTCCTCGCAAAAGCGTCAAACACAGGAGCAAAAAGATTCCCCTTAATAATGTACCTATTATAAAATTCATCCTTAAGTGCAATAATCTTCCGCATGAACCTCAGCGCACATAATACTAGAAACGTGTGTGTGGATTTCATTAAAATAAGTATTCTCCTAAGCAGATCCTTGTTCAAAATGCAGTTCTTAATCTGATACATGTGATGTTCCACACAAAACGAGAGCAACTCGAGTATTAACCCAAGCAGCTGAACAGTCCTGTAATCCTCCCTGGCTGGTTTATCTCCAACAGTATTCCCCAGAAGGGGTTCGATGAGTGTCACAATGGTGTTCTTATAGAAGTAGTTGAGAAAATCAGTCTTCTCGGTTTTATTGACAGTGGCCATCATGTTCTCAGGATCGAGTAGTAAACGAAGGACCCCAGCGAGTTGAACAGCCCCACCGAGTTCAGGATCGGTATCTCCAACTAATTGTGCCACAATGACATTAATCAGCATCTGATCAGGCTCAGTATTATTAATCTGCTGAAGAGTATAATCTCTGACAACGCTCGGCGAATACTCCACAATATAAGTAAGAATATCTATACTAGCTGTCTTCGTCTGCGCATCATTAATAGCCAGAGTTATCTCCAAGGCAGGAAGTATCCCAAGAGCTGTAAGGGTACGATAAAATGCCTCTTTACCCTGTGGCTGTAGATTCTGAGAGAAATTACAAAACTCTTTAAGAAACAACACAAGATCACGTCGTTTGCTGATTGATGTTGACTCATCAGTCAATTGTCGAAACAATTCTGTGAGAAATCTCTCGTCGTCCTGGATTAGCGTAACTATTTCAACTTTATTAAAAAATATAAAACTACTCAGTGTACTCAGCATATTATCCTCGAAGACACTTGGAGTCGGTAGCACAACGTCTTGGATATACTGGACACGGTAGGTTTGATGAATTTTAGCCAATAGTTCTGCATTTGTTATTGGTATTGCTTGTTTGAACCTCGCTAATTGGCGGAGATACTCCCGATGTCTTTTTGGTTGGGTGAGAGTTGGCTCATACTCGAGACAACCCACTACATCGAATATGACGTCCTCAGAGAACATTACTTCAAAGAGGGCGTTTTTATTCAAGAGAAATATGTTTTTGAAGATATCGTAGAGATGATGCAGACCTTCAATGTTTTCTAAGTCTTCACAGGTATGGAACAGATTCAGCAGCTTTTTTATGTAGCCTTCAGACTCAAGGGCCATTGCGAGCTTCTCTTTTCGGACTGGGGTGGACAGACAGTTGCCGATGAGTTCGTTAATATCCTCGAGGCGTGAAAGTTCACAGGGGGGAAGCTCAATTGGAGGGGCTGAGTCTGACATGTCGTCAAAACGCTCATCCTCGGATTCTTCGACTATGTCCTGGGTTATTTCTACGGACGGGTCTTTGCCCTGGACTTGACAGATCTTCTCCCAGATCTCGTCGCAACCGGCTTTCTCTTGGAAACTCAGGGCCAGGTCGAAGTTGTCACCTTCTGACCAGACTATCAAGGTGTCCTGGAACATTCACGAGATTTGAGCTATGAGACAGTTTTTGTAAGAAAGTTTGAGGGGTACCAAAAAAGTCTCTTGATATTCCATTTTAGAAACTGATGATGGAGCAGATATACTCATTTTTTGTTGGATTGTTCTCAGTGCTAATGATAATGATGATAGATACATTATAGAAAATGTACAAAAAACTGTTTTTAGGAAATGCTATTACGAGAATAAATGGCACATTACTTTTCCTCGTAAAATTTTCACTTTTATTTCTTACAGTTTAAGCGAACTATTAATGGGATTGGCGCAAAAAAATATACCATTTTGTTTTTCATCATCATTGAATGGCTCCCGAAACGTGACTATTTTTCTGCATCTTTTCGAAAGTTTGCGAATTTCCGAAAAATTAAAAAAAAAACGTAGAAAAATGATTACACAATGATGAAACTTCGTGTGCCATTAAATAATGATAAAACCCAAAAACGACATAATCTTTCAAGATTAAAAGTTTGCCCGAAAACTCGACAAAAAGTGAAAATTTACTAAAAGAGAACAATACATACATCTTTAATTGCAAGGTGAGAGTTCTGTTAATTGTGAAAATATCTCGACAACGAGTGTTGAAGACGCAATATATATAGAAAGCTTTCTTGTGGGGTAATAATTAAGAAAATTGATTCGGTTTCCAATGAGTTTTGTTTTTCTGAATGGCACAGCTATCTTACAACATCGGTTGAGTAGGATTTCCAACAAATAATCGCAATAATCCCATAATTACCTTTTCATTAATTGTTCAAACATCTGAAAAAACGCATGATCTTAGGAGAAAAACTCAGTAAAAGTTTTTTGTAGCCCTCAAAATTCCCCATAAGAAAGTTTCTTTACATTTTTCTTCACGAAATTCCCTCCTTCCTAAGATATTCGCCAATAAATCATAATAATAAATGAATTCGTTTAAAGTACTCTTACTTCCTATTAATACTTCATCATCAGCAATAATCAATGAAACAATAAACAATACCTGTTGCTTCTGATACGCAGTATCCGGTTGGATCTTGCTCTCCAGAAGGATTGACCCATCACTCTCAGCCCTCACGAGCAACGAGATCCCCTTGAGTCGATCAACATAAGGTGACGACACGTGACCAGTACCACGGTCATCCCACTGCCTATCAGCATTCAGCGCATAAAGCTTGACTCTCCTCCTAGTATCCGTCATTCTACCTTCTTAATTCCAACGACAATCAAAAATCAATCAATTCCCCTTATCCACTCTTATCAAACCTCAGTGAATCGAGTCCTTAAATCACTCAAACAACTAAACAAATCGCACGATCCGTTCTGCCCAAACACAGATACATTATTCCCCACAAAAATAAATACAATTAAAAAAATTGATAAATAAGTAAACTGAAAAAAAAACACTACTAATCTGTCTTTCTTCTTATTACGTGCATCTTATACTATTATCATTATATCCAAAATAATTGTAACAATATCCACATTGACATTCAGCGTCTTTCAGAATTATCATCGAGGCCAAAAGATACACCACCACCTACGTTCACTCAATGGCACTTTACCCAGTCCCTCTCTTAAGTAAAAAAAAATGATATAAACCCCGATAATGATCAAATAAATTCACTGTGATGTTCACCAACTCAACCAATATTCTTATTATGCTCAATAAAAAATCAATCCCGAAACTCGACCAAATTTTCACTTGATTCACTCACTTTTCTCTCTCTCCACCCCCCTCACGAATAAAACCACACGGGGTTGTTCTCCTCTTCCTTGTTTATTTACAACAACAATAGTATGTTTATATGCGCAAGTTGCATAAGTCTCTTGTGGACTTGGCCACACATACAAGCATATATTCGACATATATCTGCATATATAGGTTTTGTATATATGTATATATATAACTACACACACATCTCTGCGAAAAGGAAAATGAGAGAGATTATTCTGCCTCTACTTCCATACGCGGGAAATCAATATCAATTAATTATTTATTTTATTTATTCCTAAAAATGTCAAAAACTCTCTCGTTATTCGATTAATATCGGTTTGGCACTTTTTTAATCTCGTCCCCCCTTTTCACACAACGCGAATAATCATCATAATAATGATGAGAATAAATTGCTCCCCCGAATTTATCTTTTATTTATCCCCTGTAGTCACCCGCAAATGTCTCAACAGTGGAATAAATTGTGGATCAAATGATTTATTTTTCGATTCTCAGTTAATTGATGTGCAGTAATGCAATTAAGAGCAGTCTCTCGGCTCACACGAAAGTTACGATTGGATTGGGAAGAAGAAATTCTGACGAACCCTCTGACGATCTCACTCGCGGTCACGTGGGCTGTAGGATTAAGCAGCCTGATAAATAGCCTCAATCAAACGTTAATACTGGTTAATATTATGGTTAACCGTTTTTTGTTATTACGTTGTCATTCCAATCGCGAGTTTTATATCCTACTAAACTGACGTAGACACTCAACAGCCACAACACTACATTCCGCCATATTAGATCACAACAACGCGCCACGGGGTCCACTCGCCACGCACCAAGGATTTAACCCGGGTAATTTGAAATTCTTCGGCTGGGGCTTGAGAAGTTCTTCAAATTTTTTGAGCTTAGAACGTTAGGTAATTTTGAAAGTGTTTTTAGGAACTTGCTGTAGTTTTACGGAGAATTTTTCAGGATTTTTCAAAGGTTCAATGCGTTAATCAGTTTTCAAATTCGATTATACTCAATTTGGAGAGAGTTGATGTGCCAACTTTTCAGCAAAATAAGACAAATGAAAGTTGAAGAAAGTGTTTGTTGATGGATGAATCAGGGAATTTTTCTTTTGAAAAAGCTAAAAAGGAGTAGAGTTACTGCATGCGTGGAATGTTCATATCTTTTTACGGTTCATTATTTTATTTTTAACATAAATTGCTGAAATTTCCATGAGGTTCTTTCTGCATTTGATCATTATAGAAATTATCATTATATTTTGTTATTTGATTTGTTTTGCAAAAATTATTAGTAATCTTAAAGAATTCCCTGCTTTGACAACAATAGAACTGATCAATCTATGATAACTCTCATCTTGCTCAATGATTTTCCTCTAAAATCTATCGAAATTCATGGATCTTTCCACGTCTTTTTTGTAGAGATTCTATATGCGAAAATGCTGCGGTGTTCGCTTGAGTGGAACTATACCTGCAATTGTTTCATTATATCAACGACAATCAACATAAGCCGGCGATTAGAAAGGGGTGTAGGATTGAGCAATGTTGGCAGCTCCCTGAACAGACACTGTACCTTGACAATGAATAACACTGTAGTAAATGTGAAAACTGAACTTTCCTTTGCATTAGAAAACAAATATTGTGCTCCCGCGCCGGTTTTCAGGGAGGGGTTGAAATTACCGACGAGGGAGGTGAAGAAAAGGGGGAAAGCGATTCCAAGTTGACACCATGTTGACACCGGTGTGTGGATTGTAGTGGTAAATATGGCGGCAGTTTGGAGGTGCGCAAGAAAATCCAATTTTGTCTGAGTTTTCGAGTGTTTGAGGTTCTGAGATCTGTGCTGCTGAGCACATACTGTACTGTGTTACGAGCCAATGAGTCCACGTGTATTACATTTTTTTTTTTTGTCGATGGATAACATGTGAGTTGTTTTTTTCCGGAGTGAAACCGTAGAATTTACCCATCCTTAATTAAAAATGGTAGATTTTGAGAAGAACTTTTGAATAAAATAGTTTGGCTCATTTCACGTTTGTGTCTATGTTTAGAGAAATTCTTGATGAGTTTCTAACCAAGTTGAGATTGAGTTGAAAAGGATTGATGATAATTTATCATTCTATTTTTATTGTTTGAGTGTTTAGAGTTTAATTTGAAGATGAAAAAGCTAAGGGAAACGGAGTTGGTTGGATTTGCTGATCCCAAAGATGTTGAAGACGACGAAAGGGACGAGGAAAATGAGTCTTTACCCAAATCGAAGGCCTCAAAGAAGTCTGGTGGATTCCAGGGGATGGGTTTGAGCTTTCCTTTGTTAAAAGGGATTTTAAAACGAGGATATAAAGTTCCGACTCCCATCCAAAGAAAGGTAAGTGGATGAGAAGCGCAGTTCTAGAATCGTTGGGGTTATTAATTTTTTGATTATATTGACAATGACTGAGTATAATTATGTATGTATGCATATAATATGTGTACTATCGATATACAATCATGCAATTTTGCTATTTTCTTCTAAGCGCAGTCATTCCATAGATAATTGCTAAAGATTCCACTAACATTAAAAAAAGTTTTGACTTTTTTTACGTGATAGAGTAATTTTGTTCATGGTCCACTTTAAAAAAATTCAGTGTAACGATTTTTGAAGCCTCCATTCCGCTTATTAAGTAATATAATATGATGTCTATTTGTATTTTTTGCTTCCGAATGGAGTGGTTATTTTTCCGAGTGGTCATTTTTTAGAAAACTGAGTAATTCAGTGGCTAAAGTGATTCCAAAAAATCTTAAATTTTGTTAAATTATAGGTTTTAATGAGGACTGACTTTGTGCAAAATTTCAGCCCGATGGATCTAATAGTTTTGGAGAAAAAGCGATTGGTTTTTAAATCGTTTTCCGCAAATATCTTCAAGACTAGTGGACTCATTTCGATTTTTTTGTTTTCAAAATATTCGTTTTGATGCCTTTTATCTAAATCAATCAAAGTATACATTCCCGTTCATACAAAGTTTTCAAGATATTCCTGTTTTTCCGTTTTTTCATAAAAAAACTTTGTAAACACTATAGCTTGTGCAAAAATCGACATAGCAACTTGAAATTTCGACAAAAAATATGTATACCCGCCCATACGAAGTATTCAAAACATTGGAATTTTAATAGCCTCCATGGAGGTGACAGTAACCATCTGAAATTTTTGCTGCTAGTTAGTATCGTGAAGTTATAAATTTTTGTATTATTTCAGACCATTCCATAGATTGATGGGGGAAGCCCACCACCAATCTATTGATGGCGAAAAAAAATAAGATTACTCAGTGTCATATGCTTGCTGTCCCCTGCTTGTTTATGTACTGTAACCTTTTGTTTACAGTAATTGTAAAAAGCGGGAAATTCATTTCTTACCGTAATAATAGAATATATTGTTCTGTAACAAATATATATTTAGAATAGTATATATATATATATATATATATATATATATATATATATATATATATATAGTAAAAATACATACTATATATACTATACATATGTTTTATACTGCAATTTTTTTAACAAAAAAAAATGTAATGCAGTTCTTTACTGTAGAAAAATGTATATAGGATAGTATATATGTATGTAATACATAATACATCCCTAAAAATAAAAAATAACGCAAAAAGAAAAAGAAAAACGATGAAGAAGATGAAGAAGATTATGACGATTCTGAATAAATTATTCAACAATTTAATTCTCATNTATATATATATATATATATATATATATATATATATATATATATATATATATATATATATAGTAAAAATACATACTATATATACTATACATATGTTTTATACTGCAATTTTTTTAACAAAAAAAAATGTAATGCAGTTCTTTACTGTAGAAAAATGTATATAGGATAGTATATATGTATGTAATACATAATACATCCCTAAAAATAAAAAATAACGCAAAAAGAAAAAGAAAAACGATGAAGAAGATGAAGAAGATTATGACAATTCTGAATAAATTATTCAACAATTTAATTCTCATTGTGAAAAACTTAGTTGAAACTATTCGTTTTTCCTGCATTATTATTGAGATAAATTACACTAATTAGTGAGTAACGGTAACGTTTTACTAATCCGGCTTCCATGGAAAACAATAGGCGAAATAAATTTTAATCCGATAACCCAGGTGGATTACTCAGAAATAGACAATATGCACAAAATGTCCACCCTAACTCTTGAAGTTCTTAATATTTGCCTGGGTACTCCAAGTGTTTTCTCAGCCATTGATGTTAGTATACTTTTTTACATTGCCCTCCATTTTCATCCTCCTCCTTGAAGTCCCCCAACTGGTGAATTATCAATTGAAAAATAAGTCTCATAAGAGCAGCTGTGTAAGAAAAAAAGTCGTTCATTTTATTCCGTCGAAGCAACTGCCATAATTTTTTTTCATCATCAGAAGTGCTAGCTGAGTTTTCTTCACCATCAAAAATAAGGTTAAAAAATTACTGAATTTTTCGTCTGCATGAACAAATTTGATTTTTGCAAAATAGATGAACATCCTTAATTGTTTCCATATCAACTCCTTTCGTTTTCACCATCCTTTACTCAGTTTTTCCTCTCATTTTAGACAATTCCAGTCGCCCTGACAGGCCGCGACGTAGTCGCCATGGCTCGCACGGGTAGTGGCAAGACAGCTTGTTTCCTCATCCCACTCTTTGAGAAACTGAAAACCAGAAACGCAAAAGCCGGAGCTCGAGCCCTGATTCTCTCCCCTACTCGAGAGCTCGCTCTCCAGACCTTAAAATTCATCAAGGACCTCGGCAAGTTCACAGGCCTCAAAGCGGCAGTGATTCTAGGAGGAGATAGCATGGACAACCAATTCAGCGTTCTTCATGGGAACCCAGATATAATCGTCGCCACTCCAGGTCGTTTCCTCCACATTTGCGTGGAGATGGACTTGACTCTAAAAAATGTCGAGTTGGTGATTTTCGATGAAGCTGATCGACTCTTCGAGATGGGCTGGGGGGAGCAGATCCATGAGATCACCAATCGTTTACCAGAGAACAGACAGACTCTCCTCTTCTCTGCGACATTGCCGAAAGTTCTTGTGGAGTTTTCGAAAGCTGGACTTAGTGATCCAACGCTGATTCGTTTAGATGTGGAGAGTAAATTGCCTGATGAGTTGACGTTGTCGTTCATCACTTGTAGGAAAGAAGAGAAGTTGGCAGTATTGCTGTGTCTTTTGAAGTATGTCATTGCGAAAGACTCTCAGACAGTGGTTTTTGCAGGTACGACAAATGATAACGGTAGTTTTATCATGGTATAAAGCCGTGTCCCAATGAAAAACCCGTATTTCAGAGGAACATTCTGAAATTTCTGTATGAGAATGCGTGCCTCTAATTTCTAGGCTCGATGTATCTCCACGAGATTGAAGAAACAACTCATAACTCGTTTCATATAAATTCAATCAAAAATGTTATCAAAAAGTACAAGTTCAACATGGCACTAGTAAAAGTACAACAAGTGGGAAATTGCCTTTTTCACAATATAGTCAACACATTTTTGCTAATAAATTAGTAATTTGCTTCCGAATGAAATTTCTATGACGATGTATTTTAAATTGAATTCGGTGATTGATTGAATCCAATTTTTCTCCAACGTTGACAGCTAACACTGCCCCAAAGTTGAAATGTTTTACCTTTCCCTGAATTTTGATTTCCAAATAAATTTTTTTCAACAAAAGATGATGCAATCACTCTCATAATTGAAGTCGGTCAAGATGGCATTGGGAAGAATATTTTAAATTACAATTGGATTCATTTAAGGCCCGGGTAGTTCATTTTTCGAACGTTGTCTCGATTATTTTTCCATCTTCATAATGTAAAATATATCACAAATTTCCATTGGATTTGACATCACGCAGAAGTCGTTTTTAATAAAGATTAAGAAATAAGTCCGATAGAGAGGAAATAGTGAATGGATAATGTATTATGGTAACTAACGATCGGACAGCTATTGACTACTGTGACACATGACGACCTAACAGCCATTAGATACATCAAAATATTAATTTACAATTTTCTCTCCATTGGGTTTATTTCCCAATATTATTCAAAAACGCTCTTTGAAAATGTTCAGCTTTTTTCAACGTTTTTTTTAATTATACAATCATAATTTTTAGAGACTTCAGACTAAAATCAAATTTAAAAAAAACAATCAAGATCACGTTCGAAGGATAAACTACCCGGGCCTTAAGCAATTATTTTTTCAGTTATCGTCGAAAAATGATCGGTCACATACATACATGCATATATCAAGACATAGTCTAAAAAATAGCATATTCGAATTCCTGTGGCCAAAATTAGTTATCCGGCCACAAAAAATTGGGAATTTCGAATTTGACGAATACAATACTTCTCTTCGGAAGCAAAAAATGTGAACATATGCCGACCTCTTCATTGGTCCCGAAGAAAGGGGTGTAAAAAGCAATATGAAAATTGAAAAGAAAAAAATTGGAACACGAGATACATCTCTTCAGCTCTATTGTTTGAAGTACGTCTCTCTCATTCGGACACGTCAGTGAAGTTACTGAAATCCTGAAACAGAATGAGTCACCTTTAGCTGTGTTTTGATAAATATGTTTGGATCTAAAGTAGTCATCTAAGAAGATTTCTATGACCTTTTTTGATACATATTTCCCTTCATTTCCAAGATATTTAGTAAAAACTGAAGTCTAATGGAATTCAGTTTCGCATTAGTAAAACGTAACGCATTGATTTTGATATCTTATTAAGTATCAAATGATCTCAATAACGAGTAGTTATGTTGCTATTTCTCTATATTATAAAAATCCAAACCGACTTTTAATGATGAAAATTTGGTACTCGAAATTAAGACTCCACAATTAAGGGTCACAAGGATGAGAATAAGGGTCCAAATAAGGATCATGTTGGTCATATGGGGATCATATGGAGGTTGGCGAGCAGAACGAGCAGAGGGCCCCCTAGTAAAGGTGACAGGCATGAATCCCCGAGATAAAAAACCCCGCGAGAAAATTCCCAGATACAATAATCCCTAAATCAAAAATCTCCTTCGACAATAATCCCCAAAATAAAAGCCTCTTTGACCATAATCCCCGACATCAAAATTCCCGCCTGCAAAAATGCAAAAATATAAAAACACGAGAATTGGAAGCTGCATATATGCAGCCGAATTATAATTTTTTTAAAATTTTAATTTGAAATTTAATTTTCTTTTTTTTTTTCATATTTTGCTCTTGTAATTTGCTTTTTTTTAATCAATTAATTTTTGTAATTCATTTTTTTATTGAATATTTTAATACAACACCTTGCACATATCATCATATGAAATTTTATACATTATTAAATACAAATGTGGAAAAAGTTACAGGACGATATTGTAGGCGAAAAATGACCGAAAAATGAAATTGTAAGATGTACTTGTAATGGATTAGAGGTATTTATTATGTGGCACAATTTGAGAAGGGACCGATCGGGCTGTAAACGTAAACACAACTTGGTTTGATTCCTCATTATAGGATAATTCTTTGTATATGTATTGAACAAGAGGGAGAGAGAATTTCGTGTTTGGGTATTCGGCAATTTTTGTAGGAGAGGATAATCTTAGGAAGGGATTTTGGATAAGGGGATTTTCCCCCGTAACCCCTAGTAAAGGTTTCTGATCATTTTCTCCGAAATTTTCCGAAATAAATTTGCAATTACACTGAATTGCACTGAATTGAGTCATCTTATTATACCATTGTGTCATTGAAATTGGATCTGCAAAACAAATAATAGACAAACTATCAATTCGAAATACACAATACAATCTATGGGAAAAATAAATCATCATTGGAACAATTAAGACTAGAGGATTTCGGAGACTGTTTGATCAGTTAGTCGGTCATTTATCTGGAAAATTGGTTCTATGAAGAAGTGTGGGGATACATTATTGTGAATAGAATTCATTTCCGGCCATCTTCAAAAAATATTTTCTCTATTATAAATTATTGTGCCACCGTTGTTTGCAGCAACAATGCATCACGTCGAGTACATCCACATGATTCTGGACCAAGCTGGGATCACCAACACTTTTATTTACTCGAATTTGGATGCCTCTGCCAGAAAGATCAATGCCGCCAAGTTCCAGTCTGGAAAAGCGAGAGTCCTGGTAGTGACAGACGTGGCAGCTCGTGGACTCGACATCCCACATCTAGATAACGTCATCAATTTTCATTTTCCAGTGAAAAGTAAATTGTTCGTGCACAGGGTGGGGCGTTGTGCTCGAGCGGGACGGTCTGGGACTGCTTATAATATCATTGCTAATGACGAATTTCCGTATTTGTTGGATCTACATCTATTTCTTGGCATGAAGATGAATATTCTGTCGGCCGACGGTGAGGCTGATGGGGCGGAGAGGTAAGTCGGCGATGAAGACCAAAGTGTACAATTATTTATGAATAATTTATTCGATTTTACATTGAGAGAAAAGCGAAAGAGTTCTCAAACGAGTTTTGCTTGTACCAAGAAAATAGTTTTTTGAACGTTATCAAATAAGGATTTTTTTGTGCCAAACATGCAGAGGTTGCGCCGAAATGAAAACTTTTTGTCGCAAAAACAGATTTAGTAATTAAAAAAGAAATGCAAGAAATGCCATTTTCAGCACTCCTTCGTTATTCGATACTCCTATACGTATTTTGCTCCTGAAAAACGTAAGAAATGAACCCTTAAATGAAACAATAATAATGATATGACAGAAATTTTGCAACTTAGGGACAAAATATTTTTTGATAAATTTTCCTCTATATGAGATAATCTCATCCTGAAAAGGCACCGTCTGGTGCCTTCACCTCTGATGAATTATCCGTCTTTTGAGCCAAATATTTAGTTATTGTCGAAAGCCGAGCAATTATTCATGTTTGAGACTTTCAAATTCGAACCAAACAACTTCTTTTTTGGTAATTTTCAACTAGTAATTTTGTTGGTCCCAACAAGACGTGTGTGAAGATGTGTTTATTTTACTCTCAGTGTAGAAACAGATATTTATCCCTCTGCTAATCACGCAAAACTTACTAACGTCATTGGTTGCATACGACGGCTTTGTTAAAAGTGGTATAAAAATGTACTGGAAAATCTGAAACAGATCAACATTCACCTTGAACTTATAATTAATGAAATCGTGCAGGATTTTTTATCGCAAATGTCACCATTAGTTATCTATTCGCGTTTAAAGTTGATATCTTTTTTGCTGTTTAACACAAGAAGCGTACCGAATTACACCATACAAATTTTAATATTCTATTATTTAAAATACTTTGAATCTAATTCATGTCGTAATATGACTTCTACGCTTCAAAAGAAGATGTCAAATCTTTGGAAAATTTTCCTAGCCTCTACCGCAATGTTATTCACAAAATCATAAAAAAGCACAATGCTCATAGCGCTAAGAAACGGAACGATAGAAATACCTTTCGTAAGGAATTCTTCGCGTTATAAGAAGGATCTTTCGATATTTTTCTCTAACGACACTTCTTTTCAGGATATTTGATTCATCAATAAATAACAAGGGTATTTCGCAACTTTCTAAAATGCAAAGGTATTCCTTAATTTCCAGATAAACTGGAGAATGTTAGGGTTGTCTTTAGAAGTCATTTACCTCAATTTTCTGGGAAAAAACTCGCCTAATTCATACAAAATTTTATTATTATTTTTCAAACTTGACGACACTTTTACGTAACTCCTAATCCATACAGATATTGCAAAAGCATTGACCGTGTAGTGTTTACAAATTAATTCCATGAGACACGTACTAATCTAGATGTTCGTGCACAAGACTGAATTTCAAACGTCGAAAAAAATCATGTAAATTAGTCACTGTTATAAAATTCAAAAGTAATGTCCTAACAGCTCTTGACCCCTTCGCATCAACATATTAGAGATTTTAAATGTGTCATCTCCATCTGTTAAATATTACTTATTAAGAGTTAATGAGTTAGAACCTTTTAAATTTCGCCGGAATTAAACAAGTTTTAACCGGAAAATTAAGATAAATCATTTCTACCGGGAACTCTGATATAGTTGAATTTATTTAGAAATTATGAAATTATTTTGTATTAAAGGATGGAATCGAAATTCCATTGTTTCATTGCGAGTTGTCAAAATCATGATGAAAAAGGCCTTTTGACATTATCCGCGCAAGTTGATAAATTTGAGATATTTGCGATCATTGATTAATAATGAAAACGATAAATTTACATTTTGAAAATAAATGAATCCCGATTTTTTGAGAAAAATGTATGGCAATGATATTTCAAAATTTCAAATTGCAAACTTCACTAAAAAATTATCCTGGCACAATAATCCATTTCTCCATTAATACATTTCCGCAATGGCCTCCATAATATATACACTTCTTTTTAGATCCCCTGCAAACGGAGCGATCGGCAGAATGCCCCCCTCAATGATCGAGCAGGAGCTAAGCGAACTCAACTCCTGGCACGAGACTATTACAGACCTAAAAAACATGGCTCAGGTTTCCAAAAATGGATACCTACAATACCTAAGATCTCGTCCATCCGCCTCAGTGGACTCGGTAAAACGTTCTAAGGAGCTCGATATTGCCAGTGCAGGCGTCTTCACAGACTATGGAGATCTCTCCCCTAAGGTTGCAGACTTCCTCTCCCAGATGAAGAAGTACCGCCCCTCAGGAACAATCTTCGAGATAGGAATGAAACCCTCGTCTATGGATTATAAGGTCATGAAGACGAAACGACAATTCCACAAGAACGTAATTGAAACATTCAAGGAACAAGAAGATGAACGTAAACAAAATGCTAAAAACTTTGTGATCAAAGAACGGGAGAGATCTCAACTCGATGGCAGCAGTTCTGCGGATATTGCTGGAGCCTTTAGCCAGGTCATCACTGATAAGAAGAGGAAACTCGATGATCTGTACAGAGAACCAAAGAAAAAGAAGAGAAGAAGAGACGTACAAGACTCAGAATTCTACATCCCTTATTCAGCATCCGATAGACACACTGAGGAAGGTCTAGCTGTCAATCACTTCGCCACTGCTGCTGAAAAGGTCCAGATGGACCTGACAGTTGACAACGAAGAGTCTAGAAGGTTACAGACACAAGTCAAGAAGTGGGATAGGAAGAAGAAGAAGATGATTACTATTAATAGTAATTCGAAAGTGGGCAAGATCAGAACCGAGTCTGGGGCTTGGATTCCAGCTACATACAAAACCAATCGGTATGAGCAATGGAAGGAGAAATCGAAAATCGGGGATGCTAGTGAGGATGAAGGGGAGGTCGAGGATAGCAGGAGGCTGAAGACGACGCCGAATACTCACTGGGGAAGACACAATCAGAAGTTGAAAGAGAAAATTAAAGGGAGGGGAGAACTGAAGACCCCGGAGCAAGTGATGAAATTAAGAAAAATACAGGAGAAAAAGAAAAATAGAGGAAAAAAAGGGAAGGGGTCAAAAGGAAAACGAAAAGGAAGATGAGGTTGATAAAAGAGTCTTGTAAAGTGTTGTGATGGGATAATAAAAGGATTTGGGCTTAAGCGAAGTATTGAAAGATTTATTTGGAGCTTCTGGAGCATATGCGGGTGACTAGTGGATTTCGAAAGAATTATCATTTTTCATAATTAGGTGATTATTTTGATAGTTAGCAGTTGTATTAAGATTTATAAAAAGAGACTTTTTACAAAGACGAATCTTCTAGAAACACAGGATGTCCAGCCGTCAGAAATCTGGAAATCTGGAAAACTGAGAATTATCAGGGAATTTGATTGGCCTGGAAATGTCAGGAAAAAGTCAGGGAATTACGGTAACTTTCTGGAATTTTAAAATTTGAAGCTTGTTTTCTTCAAGTACCTAATTTTTTGGAAATTCTTCTGTTGGCAAATAATATTGTCCTGGAATTTAATCTCAAATTTACTTAGAAAAGTGGGATGTTAACATCTTCCTGTGGGATGAGACTTGGGAACCCACTGTTTTTGCGGTTTTTCTATGGAAAATTCTAAATTCAGCATTCTACGTTTCAACGCAATTCACTCATTTCTAGCAATATACAAACTGCGAAAACACTGAGAGTTCCAACCTGGTCGGCTAGAGAGATGTTAGCATTCTAATGTTCTAGACAAATTTTTCACTGTACGTATTTTTGTTGGAAAGTTGACAGAGTAATCACCTCCTAAGGGGAGATCTCGCTAAAATTGAAAAGTCTAAAAATTCCCTTGGCCATACTTCCTTTATTGCGCAATTGCCATCTGATGTAGATTTTTCTATTCCGCAACTTTCGTTAGACTCTAGAAAATGAAATGAAGTACCCATTTTACGTTATAAATTATGGATAATAGCCCATGAAAAAAATGTTCCTTTCAATGCACTGTTTTTTGTTTGTTCTTGCATAATGACTAAAAAATCGTGTGAAGCAGACAGATTAAATCTAAAAGATTCATTTTTTCTTAATCCATTCTATGCAATGGAAAACTAATACTCAATTTTATTCTTTGAAGTTTGACAAACATTGAAAAAAAGGCTGAATAATTGGATGAAAATGAGGATCCAAGGAAAATTTTGAAGGTGAAAACAAGAAATGATGAAAATTCACTTGATGGGTCTTTTCGCCAAATTTAATGAATTTAACATTTAACCTATGGTCAGGGAATTTCATTAATTTGACCGGGAAAAGTCAGGGAGTGTTGTTGAAACTTCCAGGTGGACACCCTAAAACAAAAGCCTCCCGAAATTATTTTGCGAATATCTTTGAAATAGCTGAATTTAGATAAAAATATCATTGGATCTTTCAGTACATCACAACATTATCACCAAAAAATATCTTTTGATGATTCATCCTGAAAGCTTTCACACCCCAGGTATCTCTATTTTATGATTTAGTGTTTTCCTTCTTCGTATTTGGTATTGAAATCTGAAGAGTAGTCTGAATAAATTAATTAACTAAAATGTTTACATCGTATGAATAAGGCTGTGTTCACGTCTCAAGGTCGTAGGATGAGTTGTTGATGTGTTTTGTTCTACACGAAATCTGATCCGTCGATAAAAACCCACGGTGGGCGACGAGTAGAAAGCGTGCATAATTGCAGGAAACATTGACCATTGGAATGCACAGAATTAATTTTGTTTTTTCCAAAAACAATGTTGATTTGACAAAACCATGGGGTGAAGCCATTTTGCGTATTACGTATGCAGAAATCGAAATTCAGATTTTCATCTCGTATTTGACTTTCTAACTTTCATGCAGCAATTTCTCTTGCAATGACGGGTGAGGACATATAGAAAACTCAACTCATCGATTATGGTAGAAATTAAAATGATTTTTTTTTTATTTTCTCCTTGCTTTGGACTTGATTTTTTTCCTGTAATCGAAAGAATTTTCGATTCTGTAATTCCTGCTTATTTGAAATATCATGAAACGTGAAGATATGAAGTTTCATGGAATTACAGACATTTCTTTGAAAAATTTGAACCAACCAAATGGATGGAAAACATGGATCAACTTGATGGTATTTTTTCTGTTTTTTGGTGCATAGAATCTGAATTTGAAAGTCATTTTGCCGATAACCGATGAAAAAAAGGGTGATTAATAATTCAAACTGAGTTTGATCAGATACTATCCAAGGTAGGAAAAACTAGTTCAAACGAAAAATGTTCCTCTTAATGAACCAACAATATTTGAATATATAGATTCTTTTCGTATCTAGGTTATTTCCTGAAATCTTCGAATGTTAAATTTCACCCGGAAATGC